ATCAGTAATTAAAGATCTTAATAACCAATAAAAATTGAGATTATTACTGCGGATTATGCGATTATGTGATTTATGCGAAATTTCCTAAATTATGCAAAAGCATAATGCTATACGCTAAATTCAATATTATACGTATATTATGCTGCAGCATAATCCTGAACACTCTACTGCAAATCATTTTTGAGAATTTTAGCGATCATATAAGGTGACACGTCTCACGTTTATTTTTTTTTGATATAGCAAATAGGTATTACTTTATTAATAATCGTATTTACAATGACATTAAAATAGCTAACTTAAGATATTTTATGAATTTTGCATAGTAAATATTAATCACATATAGCAGTCTAATAAACGGGATAACTCACACTTCTTTTTACTAAACAACTCTTTATCATCATTTCGAATTGACATTCCAAAATCAGTCAAATACACATATCCTTTTTCGTCAACAAGGATATTTTCCTTATGAATATCATTGTGAAGAATCTTATAATCATGAATTTTATTTAATGCTCCGAGAGCCCTCTTCTTTTGCCTTTTATCTATCTTATGATGATACAATGTGGTGCCAACAATACTCAACCCCATAACAAAGCTCATTCCATTTGCCAAATCTCCATAAAATAACAGTTCTGAAATATATACACCCTGAAGTTTAGCAAGAACTCTATACATTTCAACTTCATTCAGCAATTCATCCAGACAATTAGGTTTCTTTGATAAGTCTGTGCATTTTAAGACAATTGGTTTTCCATGAAATTCACATTCAAGAACCTTTTTATTTTTTCCAACACTTAATATACTCATATACTTAAAATCCCCATATTCAAAACTCTGTGCTTGTTTTCCTGATGTTTTCCCAGAAGTACTGGAAGATAATCCTTTGAAAGATAAAGATGGTCATTGACTTTTTTCAGGAGAGGGTTGTTTTGAGCTAGGATCATATCGACATTTTCGCAAATTATGTTGTGAGTCATCAGTTTGTGAAATGATGTTAGTATGAGGGGAATTATGATCATTGTCTATTGCTTACTGGGCCAGATAGGCGTAGGTTTTTAGAACTGGTGAATGTGTTGAGTTATATTCAAGAGACTCTGATATATATAGATATCTATGATCTCTCTTAACAAACCAACTATGATCATAAGTAGAAAGTGCTCCATATTTAAGTTGGTTTTCTGACAAGTAGTTATAGAGTTGCTGTATGACCTGCTTCACTTTAGCATCCTCTTCATAAACTTTAGGTAACGTTTAGTCAGATTCAATGTGGTTTAAAATGTGTACTCTTTTGATTTCGATTGCCAAGATCAATTTATCACTATCTTTTTTGTGGCAAACAAATTCTGGGTCACCAGTGCCAAGAACGTTTCGCATTGTAAACTTAAAATCAGACACAACCCTGTTCAACGGCAGGCAAACATTAACATTCACAGCCTGGCGGACAATTTCTTCATTGGTTGTAATAAAATCTTCAATAAAAATCAGTTTTTCGAATTTTCGTTCATCTTGAACGAATGTATAATTATTTACACTTTTGAGAAAATCTTCCTAAATCATCACTTTGTCCAGAGGGTTGCCGACTGCATTTGTGGAGCTTGTCGAAATGGTGCTATATGGAGAATATGCAATATATGGCAGAGCATATGATAGATATTCTTCGAGACTTAGAAGCCCTAAAAAAATGGAATAAGTTAATAAATACTAGACTAGAAAGACATTTGTTGAACATGCGAGGCATATAAACATTATACTATTATATGGTAGAACTTCCTTTGATGTTCAAACTATCAATTAACGTTATGATCCTTCTTGCTGGTCCATCAAGGAATCTGTAAGGTTCAGCACAAAGTATTTCTCTAGTTAATTGGAGGAAGTCAGAACCGGCGACCCTCTCATTATGAATTTTTCTATAGTTAGTGTTGTTGAGGTTTAAGTTCTTTGTTCGTAAATAATTTATAAGTTAGTTTGTATTATAACCTTCCACATTATCGACTGAGAGATTATTACTTGTAGACATTTTTTGTGATGTAGTCAGAGTTCATATTGTAGATTCATGCTATCCATTCATATGCCATGTAATCTAACCAAAATATCAGACATCGCACAAATATGATATCATTTACATGTATTCATAGGAGGACTTTAATATGATTGGCTAATTATATTATACAAATTTGTAATTAGTATTGTAAATATTTATACATATTACGTGACTTTAATAAAATAAACTATTTTATTTAACTATTAGCATTTATATGTATATTAAACTAAAATCTTTAAAAATCAAATAAATTAGTTTAATTTATTGATTTTATATAATATTTAAAAAAAAAAATCATAAAAATTTTTATTGCTGTTGAAATTTTCGTAACACCTCTTTCAATGCATATATTACATAATTTACTGGTTCGCTTATACCATCATCATCATTATCGAAAATATTATCCTCTGGTTCTACATCCCGTTTCCATTTTTATTTAAACTTTTCAAAGATTCTAATAAGGAATGAACATGCTCATCAACACCATTACATAAGTATAATAAACAATACAAGCATTTAAATCTAATATCGCTATAACAGGATTTATGATATGTGTAATCACAGCTAAAATTTCGATAGGATCATCTGGATTAATAGATGAGAAAAACACACAGTTAGACGCATCACAGTAACAAAACTGATCTGGCTTCTATACGGTGCTAAAACCTAAAGAAAAATGTCGTAATTGTGCTTTCGGCATTTTCATTGCAACTAATGGAACGATATTAGGATTTTCTTTGCTTTTCTTCCCTTTCTTCTTTAGAGATGGATTTATCTGTAATGGAAATAATATTAGTAATTTGTGGTGAAATAAGCACGTAAAAATTTCTGAAAAACATTGCAAAAGAAAACAAGCGCTTTTTTATCAAAAATATTATATCCTGAACAGAATACTCATAAGCCGCTTATGTAGACATGTGTGTAAAATTTTCTCTAAATCCGTTATCATCCAAATGCAACTGATTAATATAACATCCATATTTAATGATTTGTTATGCTTCTGTATGCTTTTGTTTACTTCTATGTAGAAAGCTGTAAAAGATTTCTATAGTTGAATCTGAGAACTTTGGAAGTTCAACCTTAATTGTTTCTAGTATTAGATGATTGTTTAATTCCCAGTAGAAGATATTGGAAAGAAACATCAATGGAATCTTGATATAGTTTCTGCGATGAAATTTAAAAAATATTGTTTAGACACGAAAGCAAGCTTCTAAATAAGCATTAAAATCACCTAAACGGAAAAATACAGCATAAATATCTAATATAAGTGAAATCATATTGTCAAGAAGGTCTTTGAGTGTAAGATATTCAGCATTCTTGCAAAAGGTCTGAATTTTGTTTTGATGATAATAGAAATTTCCTGCCAAGCATTGCAAGATACCTCTAAAAGAAGATTGATCCACCATGGCTTAGGCTTTTGTGCGAGAGATTTATTTTCTCCAAAGATATATGTATACATGGCTGAAAAAAAAGGCTGGTATTGGAGAAAATTAATTCTCAGCTGTTCAATGAAATATGCAAAGAACCTATCATAGGAAGAAAGGACAAGATGTTATTAGTAATATTCGATGAATCACGATAACATAAATAGCATGAAATAGCTATTCTAAGGTAGATTTGTCCAGGCCAATCAGCAAAAATAGGAATGATATATCCTTGCTGAATATACTGCTGCATAGATGGGATATTCACAACGGTATTAATAGCTTTGATATATACATCCAAAGAATGAAGGTCATTCTCCTGTAAATCTATAAAAATAACATCCTTTATCGAATAAGCATTTCATTTCTCCTTTAACTTAATATCATAACTATGTACAGTTAACTCTTCCATTCTTGTATCATCATCAACTATATGAAGTCTCCAACATTGGTTATGCGAAAGGCCATAAAACTTTATGAATCTATTTTCCATATTGGTCTTAATCAATTCGGCATCAACCAGTACAGGATTATGGATATTCGTCTTCAGAATTGCAGGCTACGTCATAATTGGATTCATTAAGATTGTTGCTAGATGCACGGCAGTTGACGTGGTAGTTGTATTTGGTATCCGTTTTGTATAAATGCTATGGTAGTCATTTATATTTAGTACCATTGCATTCTCTACACATTCAGCAAGTGTAGAATTAACTGACTTGGCATGTTCTTCAGATATAGTTGTCTTATATTGAGAGACTATGCACGATGATATAGTTACACCTAGATCAGAAAGGGTATCTATAGAAGCATTAGAAGCATCTATAGAATCTAAATACATAGTTAAATCCCTCTTTGCTTCATTGACGAACTTATTTCAGATTCCACAAAGGAAATAGCATATAAATAATAGTTGTTTTTTTACTTGAGCCTGTGAATCTTTATTTTTAGAAGATGGGTTAGATGAGAAATATAATTCATCAAAAAATTTTTTAATCTTATGTTCTTTGTTTCCATAATTTTTCAAAATTCATCAAAAGAATATAAAGTTAGCTGTTTTTCTTTATTCTCTTGAGCATATAAAATATTTGTTAGCACTTCTATTGCTTTAGAAAATGATAAAATAGCATTAGTACTTTCAGTCTCATTAAATTCACAGTTCCTGACTTAGGTATGTTGAAATTCATTATTTTGAGCATGTTGTTGAAATTCAAGCGAGCTTCTTGTTACAATTCCATTATAACAATCTAAGCAAATTACATCATTTTCTTGTACATAATTTGGTAAAGTATTGTTAATTTGACCTTTAGCAAGAACATATTCAGTTACACTTTTCCAGTTAGTTAATTTTTGCCAGCATATAGTAATTACACATGGTCCAGTAATAGGCATATTTGCTTCTTAAGTAAAGTACCTCTAGATTTCAGATTCTTTTGAGATTCTTTTGCATAGTGAATTTTAAAGTTAATTTAGAGCTAGAAATAAATTTTTTTTTTTTATCATGTAGATTATCGAAATCTTAAAAAGTACTTTAAACTGTATAAATTCAATTGAAATGATCAGCCAATTACGTGAAAGTCCTCCTATGATGCATGTATATGATTCTGCACAGTTCGATCAACATGTATCAGCTAAATTAGATCTGAATTATTTTTCGACTAAATTGTCTCACACATCTGAGGGAGATCTCATGTGATACGAATTTTTAGCCATTACATTATCTCAAAACTAATTTAACTGAATTATGTTATCAGAAAATTTCTTACATGCATGTGAATATGTATATAGCTAGATGTAGACCTTATATAAACCCTCGATATGCTTGTAATCGAATAAAAATGAATCTGATATTTATTATAATATATTTGCTATAAAATGCTATAACGCTAAATATTTGTTAAAATGCTATAAATCACTAAATTGTTATGTCTTACTTATTGCGTATAATCACATATAATTATCAAATATGCCTGGACTAATGATTAAGATCATTATAGACAGGGTTTATAATAAAATTATACCTAAACTTTTTAACTGTCATCCTCAAACTGATAACTATCAGTACGAAAAAGTGATCAAAATAGAAAAGCAATACGATTATTTATCTATTATTAGACCTCATGAAACACCCCAGCAATAGGCTAATCGTGTAAGAGGTCCTCTGCAAGAACTACTACTTTCTAAGCAAGGATATAGTTTATATCATGTGTATTACCTCTTCGCTTCCTTTGGACAATTAGAATCCAAAACATTTTATATTAATGGTGAGTTATTTGAAGATCACTTCAGATATCATAGGCCTAGTATACATAGGAGCCAAATAGCTATTTGCTTCAAATGCTAGAAATTGGTAAAGATTACTGAAATAGAGTCTAAAAAGGAATATTATAGTGGCTGGAGAAGATGGACCTATGAAGTTGAGTCCGAAGATTTGATAAAAAATCATTGGAATTTCTCTTGCTTCAAGGCCAAAACTGCAACTATAGGAAAAAATACTATATCAAGTGTTCCAAATTTCAAGCCAGCTTGTATTTTACCTGCCAGGCAAGAAAATATTTCATCAACTTCTTATCAATTATCAAATTACTGAAGCAATATAAGTGAAATATTTATTTCATCTAAATACGTAAAACAAAATAACTTAAACCATCTTAATCAGCTAAAAGATATTACGTTAAAATTGAAAGATGGAACAAAAATTATGATTGTTTAACTGGTTTAACTAATATAATTTATTTTTTGCACTATATGATAGATGATCACTTAGTGAAATTAGCCAAAAGTATTATACATGATCTGCAAGATTAGATCCTCCAATATACTGTATAATAATTTTAATAAAGTATTTTTTGAAAAAGATCTCAAATATCATATTAATAAAATAATATATTATTCAGGCTAATGCATATAGGCATATGTGACATAAATTAGCACATTTTCAATTCTCATTAGAGTATATATGATGTAATAGTGATATTTCACAAATCATCTGTGAAACTATGCTTATATGACAAAGTTCCCAAAATATTTCAAATATTTTCTCTATCTATCTGAATAGTATTTATTTATGAGTTTATTTTCTCTGATGCTAGAGGCTATTTCTACTAGATTTTGACCGAAGTATATTTATATAATGTTACTAGGCCTTTATTACTAAGCGGTCAGGCAAGTGAAATAAAGAAAAAAAAAGTATGTATATGCATACTCCCAACACTTTTATAAATGTTGAGATCTTCAATGCACATTTTGCATGTTCTTATTCTCTAACACAGGTGTAAAGTGCCTTGCATATTTCTCCTATCTCTTTTTTAAATATGAATGCGAGTTAGAGAGAACATGAATGAAGAAGTTATCAGAGATTTAAAAAGATAGGTGTATTGAATTCAAGTTATTTGTCACTTATTATTTTTTTCAGCAAAATTCCAATACCATATTTTTTTATCATTATGTCTTTTTCCGCATTATATGAAAATATTTATAATTTTTTACTTAATTTACCCTCAAATCATATTACCGCATTTTCTGTTATTTTTTAACTAATAGAAGATGATACGT